GGAGGGAAGCCACTGGTGCATCACAGCATGCCACACACCACAGGCATTTCCAGGTTCAAGAGCCACCTGGGTCCTAGGGAATTCCAGCTGCAAAGCTGCGGCTGAGGCATCCCATGGGGAAGACCAAGAAGGAGCCTGGCCTGGGGGAAGGAACAGGGGGACTGAGGAGACCATGTGGTGCTCACCCCATCAGGACAATGCCTGGCAAAGCTCATTGGAGTACCTGCCCACGGAGAAGACAGTGGTTTCTCCAGGATGCATCCTGCCTTTGCCCTCCTTAGATCGTCCTTGTCGCTGCAGTGGGGGCCTCTTCCTCCTGCTGCAGTGGATGCAGGGGGCCTGTGTGGAGCCCAGGTGCACTGTGTGGTGATGTGGTGGCCCTCCATCCTGGCTGTTACGGTGGGGACAGAGGCTGCAATAGGAGAAGGACATGACAGCTCACAGGAGACATCCCAACCTTCCTGTAGTGGAGCAGCAGCTCTGACAGTGGGTCAGGAATGAGGAAGAGGTATCCCCCTTGCCAGTGGGGTGAAGCTCTCCTCAAAGCCCTCAGGAGAGAAGGACATCTTGTTGGGAAGATGCTTTGTAACACCTGGAAAGGGTTGGCTGCAGTCTTCAGACCAAGGTGATACCCAAATGATCTCCCTCATTCTGCAGCAGCCACGAGCTGCTCTAGGCTTCCCTCACCTGGGCACTGGCACAGGGATGTCCCCTTCATTGTCCCCCAGCATCTCCTTGAGGGCCTCTGCATTTGCTGAAAAGAGAGGAAAAATGGGAATGTGTGAGCCAAAGCAGTCAGTGTGACTCTGGGCCATCCCAGGGAAGTGCTCACCTTCATTTTGGATGATGCATCTCACAATCTTCTCCACAGTGTCTTCATTCACCTCCTCCTCTTCATCTGAAAGGCGACAAAGTGGCTCTGATGGGATAAGGACATTCCACTTACCAGTCCCTCCTCAGGAGCAGACACAGTGACAGAGAGTTGGAGAAGTCTCATGTATCCCCTCACACTAGGAAGCCACTGGGGAACACCAGATCCCTCACTCTGGAGAAGGCTGAACCAGCAGCCATGTGTGCAGGGACAAGAGGGTTGTGTTGCTCCTTCAACCTCCTCAACACAACCCTCTTGATGAGAAGTACCTGGAGAAATGAGTGGGAAGCAGGTTCCAAACAAGTGGAAAGTGGAGGCTCCTTGTGGGTACAGTCCAGCCCCAGAGCCCTTGGCTGCAGGATGCTGTGAGTGCTCAAGTCTCCAAGGGTAAACAGGACACAGAAAATAGCCCCACTGGGGGCTGTTAAACACAGGAGAACCATCTCTGGAGAAAGCCCCAGAGCTGCACATTATTAGAAGCTTAAGAGTATTCTGGGGAAACTTGGCTGGTGCCTGCTTAGCTGTGGAATTCATCCCCAACCTGCATCTAGCCACTGTTGGAGGCAGGAGGCCTGAATGGATGGACCTCCAGCCTGGTCAACAGGGTTAGATGTTCCTGTAAGCAGGTTGGAGCTGTGGTCTGGCAAGGACCTTAAAGAGCATGGCCAAGGGTTGACCTGGAAGACCATGGAGATGTTTCCCTGGGTTGTGGTATCTCCAGAGGGCAAAGCCAATCCTGGAAAGTTCAGACACTGCTTCCAGGGCATGTGCAGTCAAGTCATTAAAGCCAGAGGAGCATATCCATGGCCACCTGGATGCTCTTGCTACATCCGTGGGTGAGCTGGAGGAGCCACATTCTGCTCCTGTGCTGATCCTCCCAAGCACTGCTGATGGCACATGGAAGCTGGAGGAGTTATGTAGCACCATGTGGCTGTTTTCAGCTAAGGAAGCAGCTGAAGGAATGTGTCTTCTCCATCTCAGCAGAGACTCATGAAACCACCAGATGACAGGGCTTGGTTAGGCCAGGCTCTAGCTCACACCCACGCACGGTGCTGCAGTGACTTCCCAATCCAATCACCCAAGAGTGACTTAGAGCGGCCTGAAGTGATGGGAAAAAATCCCTAAAGGTTCCCTCTAGCATGGGAATCAAGTAAACAGCCCTGGATGAATACAGCAGGAGCTAGAAGAAGATATGAAGAGTACCAAACACTGTGCTGGACCCATGCCAGACCTCCAAATATCAAAGGGGCAGAGGGACAGCTTGTGCCTGGCTGAGGGGTGCTTCCCTTGGGAGAACACAGATTACAATCCTGGTGCTGGGGATCCAGCAGGTTCATCAGAATGGTGATAAGGCTGCCTTGAGAAGGACCAGGCACAGCTTCTCACTTCCTTATCACCAGCTTCACCAGGTCAGAGGGATGCCTGAGCCACACACTCCCAATCCCCAGGGAACACCATGCTGGTCTCACCGCCCCATGCCGCTCACCCAGCCCAGCCACACGTGACAGGTAACCCTCCCAGCCCCATCCTACATCCCAGAAGTGTGGATAAGAAGTGTCAGTCCAAGCCAGGGGAAAGGCAGACCCCAAGCCCCCCCTGAGCCCCCACTGCCCCAGCACTCACTGGCCTGAAGCTCTGCCAGCACATCCTTGTTATCTGGGTCAAGCTCATCCCGGAAAGTCCTGCAGCGGTAACCCTTCTTCTTCAGGACATGGCAGATCAGGAAACCCACCAGTCCCATGATGAAGAAGATGAGGACAAG